ATTCCTGCTTTGTGTAACAAAACCTCTGGCTGACCTGTATCTCTTCAATAACAAAAGGTTCCCTGGCTGCCTGCATACAGCCCTGGTGTCATCATCCCCGCTGCTGATACCCCTCAGGGATGGAGATGCTGGTACCCACTGCTGGGTGCACGGGAACTGCCACAAAACAACCCAGCTGGGAAAGTCCCACCATCCTGTGCCTGACTCCTCTTGGAAAGCCAGCCCTGCTCCAGGCGGGGCAGCCCCACGCCAGGAAAGGATGCTGAGGGTCTTGCCCAGCAGGATGCTGAGAGCTCCAGGGTGGATGGGATCAGCACAGGCACGTCCACACCCCTTCCTGAGCCAGTTAGGCACAGCCCCAAAGCCCATCCCCTCTACTGGGACCACCCAAGGTGAGCTGGAAGCCCCCCCAAGGCATTTTGGGGACCCCCGCCAGGTTTCTGCCTATTTTCTGAGATCAGAGGGTGATGGAGCATCCCACCTCACCGTCTCCCAGTGGAGACACCACCCAAATTTCTCTCGGCAGGAGCAGGGATTCATCCAGAGGAGTTCCTCCATGAAATTCAAAGTAAAAGCAGCAAATTTACCTTTTCCTAGGAAAAAATAAATACTCCCCTTCAGACAGCTCTAGCTGAGCCCTGCCGCTGGCTGCGGCATCGCCTCACCAGACACATCCGCCCTCCCTGCTGGGTTTTCTTCCCACCAAGGCTGAGCATCCCTGCACGGTCCGTCCCGCCTCCAGCATCCCTCGAGCCTTGGGTCCCCCCAGCACGCTGCCCTCCCGCCTCTCTGCTCCCCAGGGAGCTGCAGGAAACACCAGAGACGGCTCCGGGGGAGAACCCACCAGCGATTTACTGCGTTCCCGAAATCCAAACCCTCCAGCCCGACTCGATGGATAATCCAGCCCCATAGCAGCAGCGCAGAAGATCAATAGGAGAGGTAAAGACCCTGAAAACCCCTCTGAAATTTGGCCTCAAAATTCAGCCTCACCAAGGAAGGGCTTCTCCTCGGTAATGGCTTGTTTGTCTTTGAAAGTTCAAACACGGGTCGGCCAAGTTTGAAACCATAAAATGATATATACGGCAGTGAGCAGAGACAGCAGGGCACGGGGTAATGCGGGATCCCCAAAGATCCCCCGGTTGGTGTCCAGCCTCAAAAGGATGTTTGGGGGCTTGGAGGGGGGAAGGAGGTGATACGAGGTCGTGGGTGCTCCCCATCTGCACCCCACAAATGGTGCCTGGGGGCCGGTGTACCCAGTGAAAGGGCTATTTGGGTAGGTCCTACATAAACGGCATCCTTTCGCAGGGCTGGGTCACGAGCAGGTGGGAGGGTTTGGGACCGGTAGAGAAAAGGGAGCGTCCTCGGAGCGAATTCCCGGCGGGCCGGACGGATATCCTTTTGCCAAGGGGAAGATTTTAGGCGGAAATGTTTCTTCTGCCCTTAAATGGAAGAGGAGCTTGAGCCCGCGGGGAGCTGCTCCAGGCTTTCCTGTGCCAGAGATCCCCCGGGTGCAGCCCCCAGCCTCTACCAAATACACTCCCGGGGCAAAATCCTGCCTGTAATGGGGGGTGGGGAGCCTTATTGGAGAAATCCCCTTTCAGTTCTTCTGGGCAGCTATTTTTCAGAGTCTCTTCCTGGTGGAGCATTTCTCCATCTCTCCTTCTTGTTAGAATTTGGGGTGAAACCAAAGGTTTCTGCCAGGTCAGAAGCGCCAGCATTTGCTCGGCTCCGGCTGGCTCCGGGCAGCCGCCGGCCATTGGCACAGGACTCCGCAT